ATTGCCATACTAGTGTCTGTTGTATTCTGCTGCCCTTCCTATCCCCCCTCCCCTCCCCTCACCTCTCTCTACCCCATCTACTGTAACACATTTCTCTCTTAAGAATAATATAAAAAAATATTTGAAATAATTATTGTCTTAGGTCATTTGTGTTATTTTATCAAAATGCTTGAGTTTGGATAAGAGCAACTATTAATGTTTCAGTTCTAGAGGCTGAGAGGTCTAAGATCAAAGCACTGGTAGGGCTGGTGTCTTGTGAAAGTTTGTTTTTGTAGAAGACACCTTCAGGTATCCTCATCTGCTCAGTGAAAGAGCAGAAGAAAACAAACCTTTCTCTCTTTGAAGATTTCATTTCTTAATATTATCATATTTTGAAAGTTTCAAGAGTCAATTTGAATGTCAACGTGATCTGATTAAGAGGTGCTGACAATTAAGAGCCTTACGGGTGTGTTGGTGAGGGTATGTCTAGGAATGATTGCATGTGGGATAGTCAACTGAAATGGAGACCCTCCCTAAGCATTGGCAGCACTGTCCAATAATGATGGCTTGGATGGAATAAAAGTTGGAAGAACAAGGAAGCAGCAGCAGATGCAAGCTCAATGCTTCTTGAACAGGTTCTTGATTGCTGCTGCTATTGTCTGAGGACATTGGACTCTTGCTTCTTCACTCTTCCAAAGCAGATTCTGCCAGTGATTCTCCAGTAGCCTTCGATCTCAGACTAGGGTAGGACTGCCCTCTTGTTCTGGGGCTTCAGCCTCTTGGATCGCACAGCTACTGGTTCTTCCAGTGCTTCAGCCTGCAGACAGTCATTGTGGATTATCCAGCTTCTGGTTACATAAGCCAACATAATAAATCCCCCTTTTATAATTATACTTCCTGTTGATTCTGTTCCTCTAGAGAACCTTTACTAATACAAACCTAGAATTCTAGGAGACACATTCAGGCCATAACAATCAGCTCATAAAATTGGTAAAATCTATCAGTAACAATGATTGCCTCTAGTGAGAAGAACTGGGTGGCCCAAACATGAGAGGGGAAAGACATTTATTTTTCACTATGTACCCTTTTGTAACTTTTGAATTTTATGCCTATACATAAAAATATCTATATAAACATTTATCCACAAGTGCAAGGTGGTAAGAAGACAGGGATCTGGAAAATGTGGGCCTTCTGTGGTCCACCCTATACCAAATGATACCTACTACTGGTGATTTTTCAAGCCATACGCTCAACATCAGTTAATCAGAAAGATATTTCCCAAAATCTCTGTAGTAAGATTATGAATTATTTTTCACCAGTATTTTTCAAATTTTCTATTGTCATGTATTCATTCATTCATATATTCTTACATGGTAGAAGAGGTTCGCTAGTTCTCTGGAGTCTCTTTACTAAGATCACTAATTTCGATGATGAGGGCTTTGCCCTCAAGACCTAATTACCTTCCAAAGGCCCAATCTCCTGATACTATCACCTAAAGGGTTAGGATGTCAACATATGAATTTTGAGGAGACATAACATTCAGCCTATTGAAGCAAGTCTAGAGATAAGAATATAATCCAGTTAGGGCTAGGAACGCAGCTTAGCAGTGGACTGATTGCCTAGCATGAGTGAAGCCCGTAGTTCTATCTCAGCAGCACACACATAGGTACACACACACATAAACACCGTCCAGCAAAATAAGAATAAAATGTGCAAGGAAATATTTAGTGGGAGAAAATGCCAGAAAGGAATGCATGAGTCACACTGCCTTGAAGAGTACCCTGAGACATGCACTGGGGAGCCACTGAAGTTTGTGAAAAGGAAGTAACAATTTCTGTTCACATGTTAGGAACATAATATGTTTTAGGCTCTCTGATGACATATAGAACACAGACTCTGAAGTTAAGCAGACCTTCATTTGGATCTTCTCTTGTATTCACAGTGTCCTTTGGGGCAAATTACTTAACTTCCCTGCTTCTCAATTTCATCAAGTCAAAGTAGATTTGACAAATGAAAGTACTCAACACACTTGCATGGTACATAGTAAATGCTAATAAATTATAAGCATTATACTTATGGTAACCTGGAGGATATATTAACAAGGAAAAAGATTGGATAGCCTAGTTCAAAGACTAATATGGAGTCAAGTGAGAGGTGATGAGGGTCCAAAATATTAACTAATGACTATTGGAATAGAAATGAATGAACAAACATAAGATCATGGCATTTGGTAGACAAGAGGCCAGGGATCCTAAAAACAAAGAGTTATCTGTGCCAATAGGTCAGTAGTTCTCTTTCCATTGATAAAGGGAATTATTAGTGAAAAGAGATCAGAAAACAAAACTAATTTTTAAAATTATAAAATATTTAAAATGTACTTAAAACATAGTAAAACAGACATCTACATACTTACCATAACACAAAAATCACAACCTCTTCCAAAGGAAGGAAAAAGAAATGGAGCTATTAGTCTGCATAATTCTTGAGAAACATTCTAGCCCTCTATAGCTGAGAACCAGTTGCATTTAAAGAAAAGTAGCCAAATATCTTCAGGTTAAGAAAGGTCTTTCTCTTTCACAGAATTAAAAAAAAAAATCTGAAAGGAATAGTTTATTAAATTAAGGGTAAGAAATTTCTATTTGTTTCATTAAACAACGATATTAATGAATATTATTAAGATAGCATAATATCTCAAAAAGAAAGAAAAATTATAGGATGCTATGATAAAAACTCAATAAGTGGGTCATAAAACATCATGGGAATTCTACAGTCTTTGCTTAAATGGGATCAGATGGGAAAATCTAGTCTAACCTTACAAGCCCCTAGTACCTCCATCAAAATCTGACATTGGTTAAGGATTCAGTTTCAGTATGGGCATGACTTTCAGACTGTATATTCTACTAAGCATGTGCTGTCTTCCATAAAATGACACAAATATAAATGGAAATACTTAAAGTGATTCATTCAGGCTTTTAGTGAACATTATCACTATGAGTTAAATAAAGAAATGCAGACAAATGGAGGTCACACACACCCATCAGACAAGGGGCTGCTCCTTTAGTCAAGCCACTTCAAATTCACACCATGGCATATTTAAAAGATATATACTTCAAGATCATTTAGAATCACTGTTGGCCAAGTAGTAGTACAAATGTAAAACTGGCTTTTGCTAAGGATCCATTATATATATATATAAAAAATCATAGTACCTACCTACAATGGCTCCTGTGACAGTTATCAACATGACTATTCTAAGAGATGTCCAGAGAGCTGGTGAGAAATTACTTCTGGTGTGTCTGTGAAGGTCCTTATGGAAGAGATTAGCTTTTAAATTAGTAGGCTAAGTAAAGATTCACCCTCGGGCTGGGGATGTGGCTCAAGCGGTAGCCCGCTTGCCTGGCATGCGCAGCATGCTGGGTTCGATCCTCAACACCACATAAAATAAAATAAAGATATTGTGTCCATCTAAAAAACTAAAAAATAAATATTAAAAAAAAAAAAAGATTCACCCTCATCAATGTTGGTAGACATCACCTAATCCATTAAGGGTCTGAAAAGAGCACAAAGGCAGAGACAGAACAAATTTGCTTTTTCTTCCTTTTTTTAAATTTTTGTTTTGTTTTGTTTTGGTGTGTGTATTTGTGTGTGTGGGTGGGTGGTGCTGGTGGTTAAACACAGGCCTCACACATGCTAGGCAAGTGCTCTACTACTGAGCTATATTCCCAGGCCTCCCTTTATTAAAAAAAATGTTATGTTGAGATAGGGTCTCACCAAGTTGACCAGGCTGGTTTTGAACCTGCAGTCCTCTTGCCTCAACCTCTCTGAGTAGCTGGGATTAAGGTGTGCACCATCATACCAAGCTTCACTGTCTCTTCTTAAGCTAAGAATTCATTTTTTCCTGCTCCTGGGACATCAGAGTTCCTGGGTCATAAGCCTGTGCACTTGGACTTACACCACACCTGGTAGCTTCTATAAAATTTAAAATTAAATATGTAACTTGTATTATATTTCCACTTGGAAGTATTAACCTAAAGCTTAACCTACATATCCAGCCACTTTTGGGATCAAGTACACTCTAATTCATACTTATTGCTATGATATACATAGTAGAAATGAACACTCAGACATTTTTTAAGAAAAATATATTTAGAATATATATATTTTTAAATGACATTGTAGCTGAGCATGGTGGCACACATCTATACTTCCAGGAACTAAGGAGCCTGAGGCAGGAGGATTGCAAGTTTGAGGACAGCCTCAGTAATTTAGCAAGGCCCTAAGCAATTTAGTAAGACCTTGTCTCAAAATAAAAAGTAAAAAAGGGCTGGGGATGTGACTCAGTGGTTAAGCAACTCTGGTTTCAATCCCCAGTATCAAAATCAATCAAATAAAATGACATCATATTTGATTACACTATGGTTCTGTGAAGGACAGAGTAGTCTCAACCCTATTTCCTTAGATAGGAACCAGTGAAATTAATTGTAAGAGGCATAACTTCTGCATATGTATGTTATGGTTTGGATGTGAGGTGTCCCCAGAAGCTTACGTGTGAGACAACACAAGAAGGTTCAGAGGAGAAATGACTGGGTTGTGAGTCTTAACACAATCAGTGAATTAATCCCCTGAGAGGGACTAACTGAGTGGTAATTGGAGAGGTAGGGAGTGGCTGGAGGAGATGAGAGTTGGGGCGTGGCTGTGGGGTCTATCTTTGTAAGTGGAGTCTCTCTCTACTTCTGGATCATCATGTGAGCCATTTCCCTCTGCCACACTCTCACCTTGAGCCCTGAGGAATGGAGCAGGCCTTCTACGGATTAAGACCTCTGAATCCCGGAGTCCTCAAATAAACTTTTCCTCCTCCACAATTGTTCTGGTCTGGTCTTTTCGTCACAGCAGTAAAAAAGCTGACTAAAGCAATGTACATATAAATAATCCCTGGGGCCAGAAGGAATAATCATAAATATTTTTAAGGCAAAAGTCATACTTAATTAGATGATTTTTGTAGGTAAATAATTACAAATGAGGAAGGAAGATGTATATTTATTTTCTCAAAAAAGATTTGACCAAGTTCTACGTTGAAAGTTTTCCCATCCGTAAATTATATTACTGTAAACTTAATGGCTTCAACTCATTTTTGTGAGTTAAATGTTCAGGTACTGCTGAGCTGGATCCTCTGTAAGACTGAAATAGTGGTGTTAGCCAGGACTGAGTTCGACTGGAAAGGATCTACTTTTATGTTCATGTGCAGCATTCAGTTCTCTTCAGTATGACAGACTGTGATCCTATTTCTTGTTTAACTGTTGTTTAGAGGCTTCCCTCAGATCCTTACCACACAGTCCTCTCCACAGGGAAGCTGACATCACAGTAGATTACTTCTTCAAAACCAGCAAGGAAAAAAAGACAGATGTTACAATTAGTTAACATAATCAAATAAATGTAACCGCTTATATCCTATCATCTTTGTTATATTATCAATATAACACAAAGTTAAAAGCAAATTGCATGGCCCACACACTCTTGAGGGAAAGGAATTACCCAAGGGTTTGAAAGGGGTTAAGTCCTACACAACAGAAAACTGGCTTAGGGCTAAAACTTAGGGAAAGATGTCACAGTGATGCCCAAACTATCTTTGAGAAGACCATTTTAATTAATGCTTTTAAATGATCTGGAAGAGAGGGAAAATAACAAAATCTTCCAGTTTTCTAAAAGAAATACTTTTCTAAATAGTGAAATATCATGGCAATAAGAAGCAAAGACTGGTCAATGCAAATAATAAGCAGCAACAGTAGCAATATCACTGGCAAGCAGTATATGGACTTAGAATATCTGAGAAATAAGATACAGAAGCAAAATTTGGAACTACATAAAAGTCCTGGTGAAATCAATGGGAAGATAAGGTGATTGACTTTCTTCAGGAATTTCAGAAACTGGGGATGTTCAGGTAGTGCTAGCCAGAGGATTTAACAATAGCAGAGGAAAATTTGCTCACTGCCCCACAGGAAAAAAAAATGAGTACATGGTGAAGTTTCTCTTTTAACAGGGATTTACAATAGCCTCAAAATAAATAAATAGATAAATAAATAAATAAAATACTTAGGAATCAACTTAATGAAAGAGGTAAAAGACCTCTATAATGAAAATTACAGAACACTAAAGAAAGAAATTAAACAAAACTTTAGAAGATGGAAAGATGTCCCTTGTTCTTGGAAAGGCAGAATTAATATTGTCAAAATGACCATACTACCAAAAGTGCTATAGCATGTGGTGCTAAGGATTGAACCCAGGGCCTCATGCATGCTAGGCAAGTGCCTACCACTGAGCTACAATCCCAGCCCCTCATTTGCTTTTGATAAATATTTTTTGCTGGGAGCCATTAGCCAAGTAGGTATGACAATTTCCTTGCCAGCG